TATATATATACATATGAGAGAGAGAGAAGCCTCTTTAGCGTCTATGTGTCGCACTGTTTACATCAATATTTCATCATATAGTTGAAAATCTAACCATTTAGTTGAATACTCGAGTAATTAAATCACCACCCCACCCCCCACCCGATTTAATTATTCTGATTCTTTGGCCCTCCAAATTTCGATAATAATCGAAACAGTTAGATCAGCACTTGAAATAATGATGTCGATTATTTCGAGTATTTACATGGTGGGGAAACCTCTGGAACAGGACCCACCCAAGGGTTCATTGAATTATTTCGATTATTTGGAGGGCCAAAGAATCGAAATAATAGAAAACATAAATCACCCCTTTCGTAGCCCCTATGGCAGATCCCCGAGGATTTACATAAGCGAAATGTTTGAATCACCCCCGGTTAATTATTCCGATTCTTTGAAGCGGCCCAACCGAGGGTTGATTTAATTATTTCGGTTAGTTCGGGTATTTGGAGGACCACAGAATCGAAATAATAGAAATAGCTAAACCACCCCTCCTGCAGCCTTAGGCAGGTCCGCGAGGATTTAAACAAATCGAAATATGTAAATTATCACCGACTTAATTATTTCTATAATTTCGATTCTTTGGCCCTCCAGATTTCTAAAATAATCGAAATAATTACATCAGCCCCTGATTCCATTGTTTCGATTACTTAAATGGTGGGGAAATTTCTGGAAGAGGGCCCACCCGAGGGTTGACTTAATTATTTCGATGATGTGGAGGGCCAAGGAATCGAAATAACAGAAATTAAATCGGTGACACCTTAATTGTTTGGATTATTTCGATTATCTAAATCCTCAGGGATCTGTCTTCGGGGCTACAAGAGGGGTGGCTTAACTATTTCTATTATTATTTGGGACCCCAAATTAATTAAATTAGCCCTTGATTCGATTATTTCGATTTGTTAAATGCATGGAAAATCCCTGTAGCCGCCCCCCCCGCCGATTCCCCTCGTTACCCTGCCCTCCCCTTCTCCTTCCCTCCCCGTCGCTTAGCATGCCCCCGCTCCCCTTCCCCGCAAGCGCACACCCCCACCCTGCTCACTGCTCTTCTCTTATCCCCGCTCCCCTCCCCCCACTCCCACCACCTCCATCTGTCTTACTCCCCTCACGTAATCATCTTCATCATCTTCCAGCCCAGTCAGCCCGGCTCCCTTACTTTTTTTGAAGCATTTCGGATGGTGGTGGTTTGAGCTATTTCAGGTAAAATCAATCGCATCAGTTTGTTATTAACAACTGGTTGACCAAATCACAGCAAGATTTGCACAAGAGTCGGTTGGCAAAACTTGCTGCGGTTGGCTGTTTCCTGGTTTAGATATAAACCACGAAGAAGTCAGTCGCAGCAAATTTTGCCCAAGAACCGGTTGGCAACATTTGCTGCTAGTAGCTGTCTCTTGATTTAACTGTAACCACGAACAAGTCAATCGCAGAAAGTTTTGCCCAAGAATCCGTTGGCAAAATTTGCTGCTATTGGCTGCTTCTTGATTTAACCATAACCACGAGCCACTCAATCGAAGCAAATTTTGCCCAACAATCGGTTGGCAAAATCTGCTGCGGTTGGCTGTTCATTCATGCCCATATAGTGTTTGTTGTGATACTGACGGTCACTGCTTGCTCATGTCTACGGTTGTTCATATTGCTCACTAACGTTCTCATCTTTGTATGACTTGAAGAGTGGCTTGCTACTCGTATGATTTGATTTAGTATTATAGAACACAGTGGTGTTGCTGAAATTCTTGATGTTGTTTCTAATGTTGTCGTTTGCTGCTGAAGTTGGTCACAGTGCTTGTAAACAGGCTGGGGGGTTTGGAGTTAATGTTACAGTTGGAAGATTGGAAGTGTACTCAGTGTACTCACACCAAAAGAACGACAAAGACCAACTCAAAGGAACGACAACAACCAACAAACACAGAAACATAGAATATATACAGCTTCAAGTACAGATATTGCAAACAACACAAACAACAAGCGACGCTAGACAACACTCAATAAACAATTAAGGAAAGTAATATGTCACATACGAACACAACATCAACAGCAGCATGCAAGAATACTATGTATGACCATTACGGCCATTATCAAACTGTTAGATTACGTACTGTACCCGCCCGCTTGCTGGTGATTCGATCAATGCTTGTTGTTGCTAGCAATCCATTTCCGGTTACATGACAGGCAACGAGCGGGATATCATATAAGATATTTGACACATCAAGTATGGATGCCGTTCACCAGGCCAATCTTCTGATTAGACAATATATCAGTGTCGGTCCAAAACTTTTTGGATCTCGGTTTGTGCAATGTACCACTTAGCCACATACTATTTAGCGAGGCATTTGATATTGTATATGTCAAAAGTTGGTGAATTAGACCCTAAAGGTATCGGGCTCTTATACATAGATACATATATACATATATACAATATATACATATATGCATGTATGCATCTGTACATGTGTACATATACACATATACACATAGACACATATACACGTATACACATATATACATATATACATATACACATATATACATACATACATACATACGTATATACATATATACATATATACATATTAATATACACATATTAATATACACATATACACATATACACATATATACACATATATACATACATATACACATATATACATACATATACATATATACATATACCTGTACATATTTAAAAACAACTATCTGGAGGGTTCTATAATGGACCCCGAATCCCAATTCGAATTCCCAAGGCCCAAGACCGAGAGTTGTTTGAAGTTCAGGGTTTAGGGTTCAGGGCAGCTCCCGGGCGACGAGCCCGCTACAAAAGGGCTAGGGTGGATTGCTCGCATTCTTCGTGGGAGTCGTGCCTGCCGGCACCAAAGGCCAAGCGACACCTAAGAAAGAAACTACACTTTTCACTTTAAACCCTGGGACGTAAACCATGCTAAGCAAGGTCATGGATGATAACTTCGATGTCATGCAGCTCGAGCATGACGACGATGATCCTGAGCGAGCAGCCGCCCTTGGTTGCAGGGGCTGGGGTGGAGGGGGCTCTAAAGAAATGTTGGAGGCTGAACTCCCACACTCAATGACCTAAATCGACGAAAGGCCCGCAAAAGGCTAGAAACTTGTTAATGGCCCAGCACCCTCAGGAATGGCGTTCTTTCTGAGTGTAGCACTACTGTCGGAGCCTAACTCATGCCGCGAACTTATAAAACACACCGAAACTAGCTGCCCAAGCGCTAAACCTTGGACTCACCAAGAAGCCTAGCCCTAGCCCCAAACTCTGATTCCAAGAGCCTGTATGTAGATGCATGTGGCTATCTCGGGCATGGTCATGGCTCACAGCCACGTGCTTTGCATAGAGAGGCTTCTGAAAAGGGGGTGTTGTGGTCTGTCAGGGACATGAGTTTGACTTTTAATCATGAGACCTCATGAGTGGACAGAGTCTTACTAAAGACTACTACCGTCCTGAAGCCCACGAAGGAGGGACGGCGGTTTTCAGAAGCCCCTGACCGTTGCTCATGGCTTATCCCGTGGATTCGTGTATTTCGAGAGCACCTCGGGATGTCGAGTCGGTAGCACTGTTGAAGCACCTCAGATAGCCAATGGGAGAACTTTAAATTTTCTGGTCTCACTTATTTTGTTTATTTTAGAAGGTTTGAGTTTTTTGTTCCCAGTTCCTGAAGCAGAGAGGCATACCTTGCTCTGGCGTCGGCCGGACTTTGAGGAACAGCCCGAAGAGAAAGAGGCGGCAGGCGTGACAAGCGCGACACCGAGGCGTGCGACAGTCTTGCCTGTTGTGGCCGGCAGATTCTAAGCCCTTCTTGAACGATTTCAAGTTCACTATATAGTATAGTTAATTTTAGGAAAGATCAGAATGCCGGTTCGAACAACCCAGGAAGCTACAGTGACGAGCAGTTCCCTGCACACTGGGATACGGCGGACATCTTTGCCAGGTGCCACAGCGAGAGCAGTCGGGGTTCGCTGCGTCGAAGCTTCTACTCGCAGCCTTCAGATGAGTTTGATGACCCAGACGAACCGGAGCAGAGATCTGGTATGGATGCTGCAGCATCAGACACGACTGCTGAGTGGCCACCTGCGAAGACACCGAGTACTTTGAGTAATGTTGCAGAGAAGCTTTGCTGCCCACCAGGCAACCTTTAATCTTTCAATGCCTTGTGCTCAATGGCTTTCTACTTAGGCCCTACTTCTTTCCCTAAGCCCGAAACCTGAACCCTAAACCCTAAAGCAAGGAGTTTCTTTGAGACTACGCCTTGCGCCGGTGTGCTGGACTACGCTGCTGGCGGCGCGCATGCGGACTGTGCGAATCACTCAGCGGTGGCGGTACCTCAGCAATGTTGAGTCAGTTGGTGTTCTGCATGCGAGGCGCATTCCAACAGGCAGCATTCTGGTCGCGGCGGTGGTGGTTGTGGTTGTCAGTAGCCTTCGTGTTCTTGCTCGTGTGCTCATTATTGCTGTAACAATTGTTCCTCTTGCTGTTGTTTTGGCAATGGCTCAAGTTTCGGCTCGAGATACCAAGTGCAGCCCCGGAGGTGACCTGAGCTCCACGGCTCCTCCACTTCTCTGCTCTCCCCCTCTTTGTCTACCTCAGCCGGATCATTTCCCCCCAACACGACCCCAATCAAATGTTCACCAAGGTCACCTACCCTGAACCTACTTCCTAACCTAAGGCCAACACTCCAAAATCCCCAATCCTAACGGGCTTCCAAGGATGCCTTGGACTCCCCCACCCCAACGTTCAACAGCCTAAGCCCTAAACCCTAAGCCCTAAACCCCTAAACACAAACCCCTAAACCCCCAAACCCTAAACCCGGTTTAAGGACCGCCCTTGTGAAAGTACCCTGTCATTT